TGAAGAGAGATGCTGATTGGTCGCCATGGGCAACTGCTCTAGATTTTGTCTGCTCCAGTTTTGATAAATTCCCCCCTGTATATTTATATGAAACAAATCATATATTAAAACAGGGATGCACAAATCCAGGAGCCCTGTAGCCAATGCTCCTTAGAAATGACAGCTGCCTCCTAACTTTTGAGTGCTTCTCCAGTCTAGTAGCTGGAAACGCATCTGTACTTGTGCCAAATATGGTAATTTTTGCAAGACAAAAAAAAATATATGTATTACTTTAGGATTATAAGTAATGACAAAATTATTGCTGAAATGTGAAACTTGCTTGCTATGGGCCATAAGGGATATACAGGTGAGGGAACTGAAAAGGTTGACGGAAACTGAAGTCTTGATATATATCAGCAGGACCATTCTGTTAAATGGGAAGGGCTAATGACTTGTGAAATGCCAGGAATTCCAGTCGAGAATGCAAACAATACGCATGGCTGACTGCACGTGTGAATGCCTGGAGGCAGAACTCTGCATACGTTGCATCAAAGGCCAAAAGTATAGTGCAGTTTGCCTTTTCTTGAACTGAAACCTCTTCTAGTATTTAGGGCTTGGATTGGCCTGGACAAGAAAAAAATCTAACATTTCTTTTTCCTGTATACATGTAGAGGTGTAGTGTTTAAAATAGAGAGAAGAAAGAACAATTCTATTGTTACGCCTGTGCATAACAATAGAATTGTTCTGTTTAGTTTGAACACTACATGAAAAAGTTATGTATTGCAGGTTAACAGTCTTTACATGTGGTCAGGGGTGTCCCTACCCTTATTGCTGCCCTGAGGTGTGACTGGTGGAGAGTGATGCCACTAAGAGTTGCGGGGAGGGAGATGTGTAAGGGCTTTGCATCTCCCTGCCCGACTCTTAGCAACTTGGGATGCTCTGCCCAGTGTCCCAGTGAGCTCCTGGCAACCTGTGACATCAGGGGACACCGGCAAGAGCATCACAGATTGCTAAGAGCTGGGCGGGGAGATGTGTATAGCCCTCACACAACTTGGGATCCTCTGGCCGGGAAGGGGGTGGCAGGCACACTTTCAAACATGCAGCAGAACGGCCATGCCGCTTTACCTGCTGCCCCTCCAAGTGACCCAAAGAGATGCCTCCTGAGGCAACAGGAGGCATCTCTTTGGGTCACTTGGAGGGGCAGCAGTTAAAGCGGCATGGCCGTTCTGCTGAATGTTTGAAAGTGTGCCTGCCACCCCCTTCCCGGCCAAAGAGATGCCTCCTGAAGCAACAGTCTCAGGCTGCCTCATTAAATTATGGCCTTGAATGCGGTGGCCTTATTCATATTCTTTTTTTCCTTTATTTTTACCAGGTGTCCCTGTCAGTAACACTTCTTTTTGTAGGGTGACAATGAGTTAGCATACTCATTGTACTGTATCTCATTGTCACACCCTAGGATAAAACAGCAGAAGACCTCTCCCTTTTCTATTCTCCATAGCATTGGGAGGGGTTTTCTAGACCACATAGACATTTGGGAGCAATGCTAACTGATACCAGTCAGCAGAGGCAAGTGTGAAGAACGTTATAGGTTTACAAGGTTTATGGTAGGATGAACGGGTATCTTTTTGCAACTGATAAGCAGATATAACAAAACATTTTTACGGTATATACCCAAAGGGAGCAAAAAAGACGTTAATTGTTTGGTTTTACATAAACGTTAATAAATTGCACAAAACACTATTGTTGCAGTAAGAAAAGTTTATACCCATCCTTATTTGATGCATATAAGTATCCAGCAGATCATAGGAATAAAAAAAACAAATAATATAAAAATATCTTGACCACAGGAAACCCACACACTGGATCTGAATTGGCTAGAATTTAAATGTGATTTTTTTTATTCTGGAACTATAAAATGTTACGCTTAACTCCTGGCAAACAGCTAAATACAGGAATGAAATACGTATACTGGATCTGTTTTACCTGCCAAAGATTTGTATTTCTGTTTATGCAGTCCTGAGATTTACAGAGGAGGGGGGCCTGATCTTTCTCAGCTGCAGTTTCATTTACTGGTCCCCTCCCCATCCCCAGCCTGTTACTGGACTGTGAAAGGAGAATCAGCAGAGCTGAGCTTATCTCTCTGTCACTCTGCTATTTTCTATTTGCATGCTCTTTGCACTGCAGCACATGTGATTGGCTTCTTGTGCTGCTTTTTCATTCCCATATCTGAGCTCTGCTGTACGGACTGTGCTGTGTGGACTGCAACAGGCTGACACAAAGTCGAATTCAGGTACTTACTTACTGCTTGCATTTACAAAAATATATTTAATAATGTAATAATGATTGCAGAGTAGCATTGATTTGTGTCAAATATTATCTGCCTTTCAGCCTTGATATAATTATATGTTTCTATGTTTCCTGGTTTGTCTTGTCACTGAGTATACATTTTCAAGGTCAAAAAAGGTTTTTTTCAATAATCTGATTACAATATTTTTTGAAAGAGTTGAAAAGCTTATATTAACTGCATGGACACTCCTATGCGATATGTCCTACATCCTTCGTTCTGTTTGTAAACAACAGACTTTAAGGAGGAGACCATGCAAACACAAAACAATGACATGGGGTCCTCCAAAATCCATACCAGGCCCTTCAGGTCTGTAGGATTTTAAAGGGAAACCCTGCAAAAAAACAAAAATGATGTGGGCACCCCCCAAAGTCCATCACCAGAGCTGAGCATGTAGCCTGGCAAGCCAGGTAAGAGGGTGGGGGTGCAGCAAGCATGTGCCTCCCACCTCCTGAACCACACTAGGCTACATTCCCTAAACATGGCAGTGTGCATAACCAAAGTAGACCCCCCTGACAAAAGACCCTGTCCCTATATTGATGAGGACAAAGGCCTCTTCCCCACAACCCTGGCCCGGTGATTATAGGGGTCTGCGGGCAGTGGATAATTGGAATATGAAAGCTCCCTACTCATTCACAAAAATTCCCCTACTCATTCACAAAAAAAAATAAACACTAAATAACAACACCCAAACATTTGACAAGTTCTTTATTAAAAAAATTAAAAAACACAAAATGTGTCATTCTTCACAGCCATTGTCAATCACGTTGTAAAACAATGTAGATATTCTTTAATCGCCATAAAAAACCCCTGTCTAAAGAAAAAACCTCCCGACCCACCCACACCGACAGGTACTTGCTGAGATGTCATCTGTAATATAGATGAAGGAGCAGGGATAGTGGTGACCAACTATTAACAGCAGGGAGCTGTCATTTAATAGCGATAGAAATACCAGAAGTGGAAGGCGCTTCCTTCCATGTTCAGAGGAGCTTCTTTGGTGTTTGTAGGAACTCAGGTTCAGACTGGGTTCAGTCTGAGCACTTCCCTAGTTTTTAGGCCAAAATATTTGTATCAACAGCTTTAAATAGTGTACTTAACAGATCAAAAGAAACCAGATAAGATATTTTAATTGTTAGTGTTTACATACACTTTAAGCCCCACAAACTAAAATTCTGTGCAGTTTAGGGTGATTGTTTTAAAGTGGAACTCAGGCAAATGCACCAAAATGCACAGTTAAAATATATTTTTATGGTTTCCTGAAGCACTGTGTATACATATGTGAACATATTTTTTTACAATAACATTTTTGTTACATTTTGTTTTTATCTTCATTACTTCTCAGCACAGCTGATGGTCCGCACCTGTGGACCATGCCTGGGTAATGTGTGTTGAAATGCCCCCTTATAGTCTCCATTGGAAGCATGTATGACAACACAAGAGCACAGTTGTGTGACAGGGAAAGATTGCTGTAATCCTATAACAGGAATAGCCTAAACAGGAAACTACATTGGCAGAATCATCAGGTGTTATTTTAATAAAAGCTGCAGTTTCAAAAAAAATTAAAATTACTATTTAAATTGCATCAACATGTAAAGCTTATATAAAATGTTACTGATTGGGTTTACATATACTTAGGGGGTTATTCACTATTGAGCTGAAGAATACAACCGTAGCTTTGGCTGATCCTTCGCCTCTCTTCAGTGGAACGGAAGGGCTGCTGTACGGGCTATTCACAATAGCTCGTACAGCAGCCGAAGGCATATGCTTCGGCTTGAGGCTGTTCACCCCGCAAATTATAGCTGGGCAGAGCCAGATGTGATCTAATGACAAATCAGCGCCCCCAGGTCATTTGGGGACGCAGATCTGTTATTACAACTGGGCGGAGCCATCCGTGAGATCAAACAATAGCAACTGGGTGGCGAACAATAACAATAGGGGCAAACGGCAGTAAGTGAGCTGCCGGAGCTTCAGCTCATCTGATCCAGATGTTGGATCGGCTGAGTCGAAGGCCCTCTGCACCTTGTCTCAGTCGAACATGCATAGCATGTTTGGCTTACCGAAGGCAGCTGATGTACGGCTGAAATCAGCTGTACTAAGCCGGAGCGAATAGCAGAACGTCGTTCAGGCTCTGTTCACTTTGGCTCGGTTATTCCCTCGGGTGCCTTCAGCAGCTTAGTGAATAACTGCATGAAGACAGATTTCTTGAATAGGCCTGCTTAACAAATGCAGCATAAAGGCATTTAAAAAAAACATTGCAATTCAGACTAATGCTGCTAAAAGGCTTTGTGGAAATAAATGATTTTACACATGAATTGCATGTTTTCTGCAAAAAATAAATCGACTATAAATGGGTCCTAAACACAACATTGGCGTTCCATAACCTTTATAAATGCATTATGCAATTGGCCTCATGCAAACATTTTCTCACTTGACTATTCAGTGAATCCTTATAGCTTTATAAATTACAGCAAGGTGTACATTATACATTATTATTATTATTAGTGCTCTGTTTTTAAAACTGGTTATCTGCTGAAATGTAACGGATGAACTGTATACTTTTTAATGTACAGCATATGTTAGATTATACGTTATTTTGTTTCTGTTGATATTCTTGCAGGCTTTGCTGCCTTTGTCAGGCTTATAGAAACTGTTTTCTCTAAGCCCACCCTCTGGGAGACAGTCTGAGAAAACGTCACCTTGGCAACCGGTCTCCATCAGATTCCTTCGAATCAGAGACACATGCACGCACACACACACACACACACACGCATATATACATACATCCTGACAGGAGCACCTTATACTACACATCTGCTCCCTGACCAACCCCAGGTGAGAGGTAATTCCAGGGTCAGGGTGGTACACATTAACCTGTTATTGCTGTGATTAATTTGTAACATTTAACTATGTTGTGTAATGTGTTTTTTTTCTGCATGAAAGGAGTTTGCATATCATTTTTTATTGATTGTCTATTATGAACGCAACCTGCATTTTTGGTTTTGTCAGTTTTCCTCTCTGTATCCCCTTGTGCGCACAAGCCATAAAGGCACTTGCTAAACAATATGCATACAAATATCTTTCTGAGCTATGATCAGGGACAAAGCCGATGAGAATCATCTGTGCACATTCATGGCATCCTTGTGCGGTTAGTTGTGAGCCTCATTTTACTTTGCTGTTAAGATGGTGTAAAAATGAAGCTGAATCTCAATTTTCCATTTTTAGATCAGATCAGCCCTCTTGTAGACCAAAAGCAGAGTGTTATGCAACATGCCAAAATGAATGTTTGCATTTTCACACTTGACAGTCTACCGACATAATTAATAGGTGATTTATCGATGTACACTATTTTGAATATTTGGCATGATATTTCACTGCATTTGAGTATTAATCTACAACTGCAGTATTTAAAGAGGTGCATGTAATATGATGTCATCCTAAACCCTGCGTGGAACATCACATATCTATTATATTGGCTGATTCCATATTCCAGTGGAATGCAATTGCTTTTTGAATTTACCCTTGAATTGTCAGAGATATATAAAAGATATAATATCTGTCAACAAGCTGTTTGATTTTTTTTTTTTTTAAACAATTAACCACAATTGTCTGGTTATCAAAGCCATATTGACCTTATTTCATATTTAAACATTCTCAAATCTCTAGAAAGGCAGCAGCTCATGTGAGGCCCTAATTTGCGTTTTTATAAGGATTCTATATAGCAACAAATTCCAAACCTGTCTGAGGGATGTTAGAGCTGTCAGTGCTTTGTGATTCAGTTGCCAGGAACACAGGCCAATGTACAACACTGTATTGTATTGCTTAAAACCACAATACAGTCAACTCTGATCCTGTGGGAAAAATAAATTAGGAACTTATTGGCACTTTATAAGGCAGATTGAAATATCCTAATGCAGTTCAGCATTTAAGTCTGTGAAACAATGCAAGTGATTTTTTATGGAGCCATCATCAATGATCACCCTGCAATTAATCGCATGTAATCGCTACACAAAAGAAAGTAGTGTAGCAAATTGTAGCAATTAAACACTAAGGGCTTGTTCATACAATGTTTGTTGAGCTGTGTTTTTCTACAAAATACTGCGCATGTATGGTGTAAACTGGGAAACTATGTACTATGTGCCCTGTTCACACCATACATGTGCAGAAAAATGCAGCTAAACAGACATGGTGTGAACAAGCTCTAGTTGCAGAATTACTGCAACTACATGGAGCCCAGGAGCATAGGAAATTCCTATTCTCCTCGGTTCCATCTAGTGGCAGTAATGTTGTGCAAATTGCATTTGCCTAGCTATACACTGGGTGGATGTTTTATATATCAGGCCCTAAGAGTGGCACAATGCTCCAAAGTTGTGTACTCAATCTCTACTACATGCAACTGCATTAGTAGCAATTGCTGGTGATTAGTTACAGGGAATCATGGACTATTTTACAGTCATGTGAAGAAGTTAATGCTTGCCATGCAAATAGTTGGATTAGATTTTTATTCAAACTATGCCTGTAGATAAAGGTGCTATACCTAAACAAACGGAACATAAAATTGACATTTGTGTAGTTATTCTCATAATCTAAATTAACGAAAAATCATAATTGTCCAATGGAAAAAGAAATTACACCCATTACCACTCTCATGCATCCATGAATTTAGAACCAGGTGATCCAGAATAGGTGCTGATCATTAGAACCTTCTTAGGCTGGGCACACACCTTACAACCATCGCAAGACTTTAGTCTTGCGATGGTTGTAAGGTACTTAAAAAACGTACGATCTGCCTATGTTGCATAGGCGATCGTACTTGCGATGATCGCAAGCCACGCCCCCTGAGGGGCGGGCTTCCGATGACCGCAATGCCGAACGGGCAGTGTGTGCTTGCGCACACCGGCCCGTACGGCTGTTATCGTACGGACATGCCACAAACCCGCCGAACATCGTACGATGCTCGGCGGGTTTTCGAACATGTCCGTAAGTTTAAAGTCGTGCGACCTTACGGTAGTAGAGGTCGCACGGCTTCCACACACCTTGCGATAATCGTACGATCACGGGATTTCCCGCGATTATCGTACGATAATCGTAAGGTGTGTGGGGACCCTTAGGGATTAAGAAACTGTCTTGCTTTAACCTCACATATCTAGAGTCTGGTGTTCTCTTTTCTATTAACGTGTGGTGTCATCATGGCAAGATAAAGGACCCTCAAAAAGTTAGTGGATGCCTATGAGTCTGGCAATGGATTTAAAAAGATAATCAAATCATTCCCTGGTAAGAAATTTAATCCGCAAGTGGCATAGATTTCAAATGACTGCTAAGAGTAGTGAGATGCAGCAACAGAAGAGAGAGTAGTGCTGAGGAGGAAAATGAAAGGCTTAATTTGCCTCTCTGCATTAAATGCTTCTCCTACTTCAGGCAATGCTGATGTGGTAACTGAAGAGAAAATGGTGGGATTGGTCACCGAGTTCACTGGGAGCTGGCTGGGGTGACCGGTCAGCTCTACAGGAAGCTGGCTGCTGTGTAAGCGACAAGGTCACATTGCACATACCATTATAGACTGCAGGTGCATGCTACACAAAAAAAATACAAGGATTTATGTAGAAGGAAGTGAGTGCTGCATTATCTTAGATTTTGGTCTGCAGCTGGATTACAGCTATAAGTTTACCTTAGCCTTCCTAAATATCAGTTTTATGCCTTTTTACCAATTGAATTGTTCATGCTACACTACTATAAAAGTACAACTGAACTCAAAAAGTGAAGATCTGCTATCATATATGGAACATCTATGATGTTAAGGAGGGTTCTGAACTCTGTAAAAATAGCAAAGAACTAGTCATAATGTTATATTGGGTAGTCTAACTGTAGAATACCTAACCATTGCACACCTTCACACTCCAGATCAGGATTGCCCAAGACTTCAGGAATCGCATACGTCTTCTGGACACTGGGGGAGCTCAAACCCCAGGACCACCCAGTGACCTCCACAATCCCAAATCACATGAGGCCGCACTAGTTGGCATGAGGATTGCATCCCACACCTTTGCCCTCAGGAACAAAGGCAGTTACAGAGCCAGACTAAATTACGCAGAGTCCACATCCACATAGGTGCCAATACCACTCTACCACACACACAGGATCTCTTCCATTGGCAACATTTTCAAGAATAGGAATGTCCAAACCAGCAGCAGGTTATATATTTAGGCCCGGTTCCCACCTGGGCGTTTTTCCACGCTTTCGTACTCGCGGAAAAACGCTCAAACAGGGAAATACCATTATTTTCAATGTGCATGGTTCCCATCTTGGCGTTTTTCCGCGAGTACGAACGCGCGGGAAACCGCCCTACGCCCAAAGAAGTACATGTACTTCTTTGGGGCGTTTTGGTCGGGCGTTTCCATTGGGAAACAGCCAACTAGCCCTCGGAAACGCGCGTTTGTCGCACAGTTTTTTGCGCATATTCAATCCGCCTAGGTGTGAGCCCAGCCTAAGGCGCCCTGTGCGAGAAAGCTTTACAGCGTCCCTCAGTGGCCACACCCTTTAGTGGCCACCCCCCCATAACCACACCCATTTCCCCCAATATCCGCACCATTTAAAGACTCCTATTTTGTTAAGCCGCAAAGAAACATATTAAAAAGTATGATAAAAATAAAACTTTTATTCAAAGGAATTAAACTTGTAGGCACAATATAATTATTCTTATCAAATAAAACTACAGAAGGTAAACAATAAATGTCAAACTACAATAGAGTCTATAAAAATAAAGTGTCAGGGTGTCATGCAGACCACTTTTTTCAAGTAAGTGCATCTAGAAAAGTAAAAATAAAAAACAGAACACAAACCCTGGACTACATGTAAATTAATGAATTAATATATGTCCGAATATACAAGAAATTTATTCAGCCACATAATAATAATTTGTTTGAGAATGTGCGGCGGCCATGTTGGCCACCGGCGTATTCTGTGAATGCATATTATTATTTATTGTGTACTGTTAGGGAGGTGGGGGCTTTGGGGAAATAGTAGGGGTCCAAACAGACCCCTGACATTTCCCTTTTAAAATAGAAAAGAAATTGAGGACAACAAATCCTCAATTTCTTTTTCAGCAGCCTCAGCACTCAATGAATGGGAAGCACTCAGTACAGAGGCTTCCCATTCAAATATTTACTATCAATAGTTTCTGAATGGGGAGGAGCCTCTGTGCTGAGTGCTTCTCCTCATTGAGGAAATCTTTAATGAACAGGCTGTGACAGGCTAGTATCCTTGCTTTCTATACCTTTGGGACAGTAGAGCCCAACATGAGCAATGAGCCTCCGAGGAAATACAGTATGTTGGTTGGAGAAAAAAATGTAATCAATGCACCTTTTTGGTTGCACAAGATAGAATCATCCGGCCACCATTAAATATAAAGCTAGGCCTGATGAAACACTTGTAAAGGCTTTAAATAAAGATGGTTTGTGCAATGAATACATATCGCATAAATTACCTGGACTTACCATGGAAAAACTGAAGGCATGAATTTTTGATGGTCCACAAATCAGACAGCTCATAGAATGAATTAACCACTTGAAGACCAGGAGTTAAACCCCCTTCCTGGCCAGGCCATTTTTCAGTATTCAGCGCTGCAGTACATTTATTCAGTCATGCAAAACTGTACTGAAATGAATTTTATACCATTTTTTGGGGGACAGATAGAGCTTTCTTTTGGTGGTATTTAGTCAGCACTGGTTTTTTTATGTTTTACTATATAACAAAAAAAGTATTTTGTTAAAAAAAAAAACCTGTTTCCCTATGAAATGTTATGAAACATTTATTATCCCCCCAATTGTTTGGTAAAATATAATA